CTGTCGATTTCCTCTTTTATAGCTGTTAGCAGTTGCCTTATGTATTGAGTTGCTTCTACATTGGGTGCATATATATTTATATAATTGTTATATCTTCTTGGATTGATCCCTTGATTATTATGTAGTGTCCTTCCTTGTCTCTTGTAACATTCTTTCTTTTAAAGTGTATTATATCTGATATGAGGATTGCTACTCCAGCTTTCTTTTGATTTCCATTTGCACAGAATATCTTTTTCCATCCCCTCACTTTCAGTCTGTATGTGTCCCTAGGTCTGATGTGGGTCTCTTGTAGACAGCATATATGTGGGTCTTGTTTTTGTATCCATTCAGCAAGCCTGTGTCTTTTGGTTGTAGCATTTAATCCATTCACGTTTAAGGTGATTATCGATATGTATATTCCTATGATCATTTTCTTAATTGTTTTGGGTTTGTTTTTGTAAGTCCTTTTCTTCTGTTGTGTTTCCCATTTAGAGAAGTTCCTTTAGCATTTGTTGTAGAGCTGGTTTGGTGGGACTGAATTCTCTCAGCTTTTGCTTGTGTGTAACGCTTTTGATTTCTCCATCGAATCTGAATGAGATCCTTGCCGGGTAGAGTAATCTTGGTTGTAGGTTCTTCCCTTTCATCACTTTAATTATATCATGCCACTCCCTTCTGGCTTGTAGAGTTTCTGCTGAGAAATCAGCTGTTAACCTTATGGGAGTTCCCTTGTATATTATTTGTCATTTTTCCCTTGCTGCTTTCAATAATTTTTCTTTGTTTTTAATTTTGTCAATTTGATTACTGTGTGTCTCGGCGTGTTTCTCCTTGGGTTTATCCTGTATGGGGCTCTCTGTGCTTCCTGGACTTAGGTGGCTGTTTCCTTTCCCGCGTTATGGAAGTTTTCGACTATAATCTCTTCAGATATTTTCTCGGGTCCTTTCTCTCTCTCTTCTCCTTCTGGGACCCCTATAATGCAAATGTTGTTGCATTTAATGTTGTCGCAGAGGTCTCTTAGGCTGTCTTCATTTCTTTTCATTCTTTTTTCTTTATTCTGTTCTGCAGCAGTGAATTCCACCATTCTGTCTTCCAGGTCACTTATCCGTTCTTCTGCCTCAGTTATTCTGCTGTTGACCCCTTCTAGTGTAGTTTTCATTTCATTTATTGTATTGTTCATCTCTGTTTGTTTGTTCTTTAATTCTTCTAGGTCTTTCTTAAACATTTCTTGCATCTTCTCGATCTTTGCCTCCATTCTTTTTTCGAGATCCTGGATCATCTTCACTATCATTATTTTGAATTCTTTTTCTGGAAGGTTGCCTATCTCCACTTCATTTAGTTGTTTTTCTGGGGTTTTATCTTGTTCCTTCATCTTGTACATAGCCCTCTGCCTTTTCATCTTGTCTATCTTTCTGTGAATGTGGTTTTTGTTCCACAGGCTGCAGGATTGTAGTTCTTCTTGCTTCTGCTCTCTGCCTTTTCTTTTTTGCCAGCTGTTGTCATCTCGTGTTTTTGTTGATAGCCGTTCTGAGAAGTGAGAGGTGATATCTCATTGTGGTTTTGATTTGCATTTCCCTGATGATTAGTGGTGTTGAGCCCCTTTTCACGTACCTATTGGCCATTTGTGTGTCTTTTTTTTTTTTTTTTTGGCCCTGCCACACGGCTTGCGGGATCTTAGTTCCCCAGCCAGGATTGAACCCATGCCCCCTGCAGTGGAAGTGTGGAGTCCTAACCACTGGACCACCAAGGAATTCCCTTGTGTGTCTTTTTTGATCAAGCGTGTATTCAGTCCTCTGCTCATTTTTCAATCAAATATTTGCTTTTTTGCTGTTGAGTTGAATGAGTTCCTTATATATTTTAGATATTAACCCTTTATCAGATATATGTTTTACAAATATTTTTTTCCCATTCTATAGTTTGCCTTTTCATTTTGTTGATTGTTTCCTTTGCTGTGAAAAAACTTCTTACTTTGTTGTAGCCCTAGTTATTTATTTTTGCTTTTTTTGCCCGTGTTTTGGTGTCAGATCCAAAAAATCATTGCCAAGACCATGTCAAAGAGTTTTTCCCCTATGTTTTCTTCTAGGAGTTGTATAGTTTCAGGTGTTACATTTAAGTCTTTAATCTATTTCAAGTTAATTTTTTGTGTGGTGTAAGAGTAGGGTCCAATTTCATTATTTTACATATGGATATTTGAATTTGCCAGCACCATTTATGGAAGAGATTATTCCTTCCCTTTGTGTGTTCTTGGTGCCCATGTTAAAGATTAGTTGACCATATATACATGGGTTTATTTCTGGATTCTCTGTTCTGTTCCATTGGCCTATGTCTCTGTTTCTGTGCCAGTACCATACAGCTTTGATTACTATATTTCTGCAATCTAGTTCAAAATCAGGAAGTGTGATGCCTCCAGCTTTATTCATTTTCAAGATTGTTTTGGCTATTCAAGGTCTTTTTAGTTTCGTATGAAATTTAGATTGTTTTTTATATTTCTCTGAAAAATGCAGTGGAATTTTGTTAGGGTTGCGTTAAATGTGTAGATCCTTTTGGGTAGTATGCACATTTTAGCAATATTAATTCTTCCACTCTGTGAACACAGGATATCTTGCTGTTTATTTGTGTCTTCTTCAGTTTCTTTCATCAGTGTCTTATAGTTTTAAGTGTACAGGTCTTTCACCTCCTTGGTGAAATTTATTCCTACATATGTTAATGTTTTTGATGCTATTGAAATTCACTTGCTTTCTTAATTTCTCTCAGTTCATTGTTAGTGTATAGAAACAAAACTGATTTTCTATGTTTATTTTGTATCCTTCAACTTTACTGAGTTCTTTTATTACTTCTAACAGTTTTTTAGTGGAGTCTTTATAGTTTTACATATATAAGATCATGTCATCTGCAAACAGAGACAATCTTATTTTCTATTCCAATTTGGATGCCTTTTATTTCTTTTTCTCACCTAGTTGCTCTGGCTAGGACTTTCAGTACTATGTTCAATAGAAGTGACGAGAGTGGGCATCCTTGTCTTGTTCCTGACCTTGGAGGAAAAACTTTTAGCTTTTCACCATTGAGTATGTTGTTAGCTGTGGGCTTGTAATATATGACTTGTATTATGTTGAGGTACATTCCTTCTATACCTAACTTGTTGAGAGTTTTTAATCATGAAATGAAAGGATTTTGAATTTTGTCAAATGCTTTTTCTGTATCTGTTGAGATGATCATGTGATTTTTATCCTTCCTTCTGTTAGTGTGGTGTATCATGTTTTTGATTTGCATATGTCAAACCATCCTTGTATCCCAGGGATAAATACCACTGGATCATGGTGTATGATCCTTTTTTTTTTTTTTTTTTTTTTTTTTTTTTGTGGTATGTGGGCCTCTCACTGTTGTGGCCTCTCTCCTTGCGGAGCACAGGCTCCGGATGCACAGGCTCGGCAGCCATGGCTCATGGGCCCAGCCGCTCCACGGCATGTGGAATCTTCCCGGACCGGGGCATGAACCCGTGTTCCCTGCATCGGCAGGCGGACTCTCAACCACTGCGCCACCAGGGAAGCCCGTATGATCCTTTTAATGTGCTGTTGAATTCTGTTTGCTAATATTTTGTTGAGGATTTTTTCATCTATGTTCATCAGGCATATTGGCCCGCATTTTTATTTTCTTGTTGTGTCCTTATCTTGCTTTGGAGTTAGGGTAACATTGACCTTATAAAATGAGATTGGAAGTGAACCTTTTAAAATTTTTTGGAAGAGTTTGAGAACTTAGGATTGGTGTTAATTCTTCTTTAAATATTTGGTAGAATTCACCAGTGAAGCCATCCAATCCTGGGCTTTTCTTTCACAAAACTTTTAAAGGTCACATTTTATGATTGGGGCAAAGGACTTTGCAAAATAGAAGATGATGTGATATGTGTAACATTAGTTATTATTATGCTCAGTGATGATAAAGAACATCTCTTTGTCATATTGAAACTTGTGAATTTAGCACCTCCCTCTTTTTTGACTTTTAAAACTGATGGAAATCTGTTGTCTACGTGGGTATGACAGGTTACACCTCTCTACACATACCTCACTGTGGTGAAGGCAATTTTGATATGTTTGTGCCTATGATACTGACATCATTAGGGTAGGTTTTTGTCATCCCTTAAGGGAAGATTTTGATGCTTCTGTCTCCTGGGTGAAGAATCCTGGTGACTATCAAGTAAAGGCATGATAAGGTATCTTTATAGGAAGACGGAGATAATCCAGGGAATGGGTATTAACTCATACTTTAAAAGAGACTCTTAAAACGCATTCAACAGGAAATAACCTCGTGTAAATGGAATTTGCGTCGTACAGAGAATAAAATTCTGAAGCATAAGGAAGAAAAATACATTCTTAGTCTATGGGTTATAGCATGTGAAAAGACTGTCATCATGTCTTCCTTCTGAGAAATACTGTGTCTCTTTCCAAACTATTTTCTTGAACCTTGTAACCTTAAAGAATGGGGAAGAAAGTATAAGTAATCTAGAATTGTATTTGTCATAAATGACAAAGCAAACTATGTTACATATGGCTGTTCTTTTGACTCTTTGGGTTAGAGAAGACCAATCATTGAGCAAAGCCACTGGGTAAAAGATGGTTCACCCATCACTCTGATGCTTGTGTGTTATAAAGCTCGCCTAGTAAGAACCTGAATTAAGGACTTGAAGAGATGTTGTCACTATCAATAAGAAAATCAGATAGTTTAATAAGAATAGAAATGGGTGGGCAAGAAGCTGATTGACCCTCCTCTTAGTCCTCATATAGATATGACAGTTGGCAAAGATTATGTAATAATGCCTTTTTTCACATGAGACTTTTGACCTGTCTCTCTATCCATTCTTTCATATAAATGTTGAAGACGTTTCCATAGGGGTAAAAAAAAAATTTATAAGAGACACCACCTCTGCAAATGTTGACTGGGTTACACTAAATTTAATATAAACAGAACTTATATTTTTCTACTTTTATTGTGGAACTTTGCAACTAATATACCTTTATAATGTTGTTTTCCAGGCTGCCAGAAATTGTCTAGTAAATGAGGCAGGAATTGTGAAAGTTTCTGATTTTGGAATGGCTAGGTAAGGCTGAGTATATGTGAACATTTTCTATACATTTTGGATTAAATTAATGTAAGACTGTGGCCTTTCCCTTGAAAGTACTTGACTTTTCCTTTGCAGTTTGTGTCAGCTTCTTCCTCTGATGCCTGTTTCAGAGCTATTTTGAAACATCTTTTGTTCCTTTAACAAAACATTAGAAGTACCCATCATTTTTTTTTAAGTACCCATCATTTTTGTACAGATTGACTTTTCTGCTTCTTAGTGTTTTTTGTATAAGGTTAGAAAATAGATTATCTATATTTTGAAAGATTTCTTTGCTGAATTTGTCTTTTTACTGTTAGCTTTGGCTTTTTCTCAGGTAAACTGTTGAGAAGTTATGATTACTTAATACTTCATTATGTGGCTTTAGTTGATATTCACATTAGCTTATAGAATTGATAAGCATGGAAATAATCTGCATTGATAAAGCAAAAAGGAAACCCTATTAGATGTCCTGAGATAAAATAAATATATTAAAATAACACAGTATACATTGTGTTAATTATTGTTAATCATTCTCTCCACTAGGTGGTAGTATAGCCCGTTAAATACACTACTTTCTTTTCTCCCTGGTGTGGATTAAATTTCTAGAATCTTTGGTTTGATAGAAATGTGTTTGGGGTACGTTTTTAGAATACGCAAATCTGTAATGTTTTTATTCTCTTAATTTTTGTAATCCTAATAGGGTGTTAGAAAAGTCCTTTAAAGAGTATTTCATTTGTGCTTTCTTTCCCTCCTTCCTTCATCCATTCATTTATCTGTACACCCATCCATACAAAATTAGGTGCCTGCTCTGTGCCAGGCACAACACTAGAGATTGAACCCTAGCAGAGGATGACATTATCCATGTGAGTCCCTGCCCACGTGCAGCTTAAATTCAGGAGGAGAGAGAAACATAAGACCTTAGAACCACTAAGAGGGGAGAACACAGAGTGAGGTGACAGAGCAGGGGTCCGCCAACCTCAGTTTCTGGACCACATCTGACCCAACACTTATGTTTGTATGGCCTGTGAGCCAACCACGGTGTTCACATTGTTTAATGGTTGGGAAAAAAAAAACTTTAAAGATATTATGACATGTGAAAATTATCTGAAAGTCAAAAGCCAGTGTCCATAAATAAAAGTGTTGATAGGACATAGACTCATTCACAGACGTGTTGTCTGGCTGCTTTCACTCTACAAGGCCTGCAAAATCTAAAACACTCATTGTCTGGCCTTTTACAGAAAAAGTTTGCCGACCCCCGTGATAGCGATAACTTGGGGCTGGTGGGGCGGGCGGGTACTGAGTGATGGCGCGGGGCAGGGGTGACGGTAGCGACTTCAAATCTGGTGCCTCTCGAAGGCCTCTTTGAGACCAGGATATCTGAAAAGAGACCCAAAAGGCAGGAAGTAGTCAATTAGGTGAAAGTCTGAGGATAAAATATTCCAGGTGGCAGAACACCGAGTCCAAAAGCTTGAAATTTGGGGTGAGCTTGGCCTGCTCAAGAATCGAAAGGAGGTCAGGGTGGTCAGCCCATGGCCAGCATGAGGGCGGTTATAAAGGCAGGCCAGGCCTCCCTCCTGAGAAACTCGGGCCGAGGGAGGTTAGAAAGCCATTACCGTCCGAAATGGGACCAGAACTGCTGGGTGTCAGGGCAGTAAGGACCCAGTACTCTTTGTTTGTTTTCTGTGAAGATATTCTGTATCTAACAGGCAGGCCTCCAATTTCAGGTTTGATTTTCATATGTTTGGCTTTCAAGAAACCTGTGCTTTTGCATCAGCTCCTTTGAAACACTCGTTCTACACTCAGTTCAGACTCCCCTGACTGACAAACGCCCATGGTGGCACTGCCACCATCTTTGTCTATACAGCGAAGGAAGTTTGTGCAATCATTTGAATATTTTCCCATGGAGCTTGCAGAAATTAACCTGGTATGTTGCTATAATACATGAACACCTTCCTCTTGTAAATACATACTGAACACATTACAGAAAGGGCTGAAGAACCCGTATTTAGCACCCCAATTAAGACCCTCCCCAGGGGTAACCAGTGTTACCAGTTTGTGTGTGTCCTTCTAGAAGGACATAAGTATGCTCCCATAGAGAAACTACATGGTGTTGTTCTGAGTGTGTGTGTGTAGAGGATGCACGTCATGGTATATACATATATACACCACCATGTGCGTACATCATTTTGCAGTTTGCTCTTTTTATTTGCTATAGTTTTAAGTTGTGCTCTGTGGAATCACGGGGGCAAAAGCACATGTGCTCCAAGCGCTTTGCACCACTTCCTTTAGAGCAGCTCTGCTTTAGATGTTTTACATGTGGGGCCTTTGGGTAAAATTTTTGTTTAAAGAACAGAACTGCTTCTTAAATAGAAAGTTTGCAAACTCTTTTCTTGTATGCTGCCTCCAATGCCTTATAAAAAAGAAAAACAGAAAAGTGAAAGCGCAGTTAGAATGTTACAGTGCACGCATCTCAAGCACTTAGAGGAAGAGGGCAATTGCAGAGGCGTGGCTGCAGAGGCAAACAGCCAGCTTCAACCGGATGCCTGTTGGACTTCAGTCAACTGTGCTTTTGATTTTAAGGGGGAAAAAAAATTAAAGAACATGTACAAAATACAGACCGTAACTCAGTGTCTTACTCTAGGTATGTTCTGGATGATCAGTACACGAGTTCTTCCGGTGCTAAATTTCCCGTGAAGTGGTGTCCACCTGAGGTGTTTAATTACAGCCGCTTTAGCAGCAAATCAGATATCTGGTCATTTGGTAAGAGTCACGCTCCACTTCCCCTCAACTCTGCCCTGAAGAGGAACTGGGTGCATCGTTTGGCAATCCTTCTCCTCTTCCAGGTGTCTTAATGTGGGAAATATTCACTGAAGGCAGAATGCCCTTTGAGAAAAACACCAACTATGAAGTGGTAACCATGGTTACTCACGGCCACCGACTCCATCAGCCGAAGTTGGCGTCCAGATATGTATACGAGGTGATGCTGAGATGCTGGCAGGAGGTATAACATTTTTCGGGTGCTTTCTTCTTCAATCTCTAAAGCATTCAGGGATCTGGGCTTGGTAGATTCAAACTGTGTGGTCTTTATAGCCTAGTGAATGAGTGCATGTTTTATATGATTTCAAACTCCTAAGTAGGAAGCCGGTCTTCTCAACTCAGTCTGAATAATGGGAAGAAGATGTGAAGAAGTGGAAAACACTAATAATTAAGATAGTAAATTCAGGCTGCCGCTCCCTTCCCAAGTGGGGCTCCCGCCACAGTCGCCTGAGCTGGGGGCTCTGGGGATAAGCCCAGAGAAGTAGCTGTTCTTTCAGTGGATCTCTGGTGTTGTCGAAATAGTACTCTTTCACCAGAGAAGTTTTTTTTCTCCAAGCCTCAACTTCCTCAGGTCATTTACTCTCAGTCTTCGGAAGTTTTCCTTCGCCCCGTGTTAAAATGTCACCTCAGAGAAGAGATTAGACACCAAAATGACTTTTGAAAGATAACAGTAACATTAGCTCAGAGGTATGATGTGCTAGGCACTGTGCTAAGTGCTTTCAATTTAGTTCTCAAAATAACCGTTCAAAGTGTGCATACTTTTACTATGACCACTCTGTGGATGAGGATATCACGTTGTCGTTTGCCTAAGGCCACTTAACTACAGAGAAGCGGAGTCCTGTCTGACTCCAAAGCCCATGCCCTGGTCACTTGCTATCATGCCTCCCAAGAGCACTGATTGGGATGGACAGAGGCCTTCTGGCCAAGAAGTGGTGCTAGGGGGAGTGCGGACAATGTGAGCAAAGGTAGGGTGGTGGTAATGAACTTGGTGTGTGTATGCAAGGGTAGAGATTGTTCTCATTGAGCATAGGGCCCCTGTGAGGGTTTTTGTGGGAAATAAAACTGGGTAGCAAGGGCCTGGGGGAGGGGCAGGTTATAGAGGGCCCTGTGAGTCAGCAGGACTTGATTTTGCAGGCAGTTAGGATCTCTGTTAGGTTCTTGAATGGGATGCCAAAGCCACGTGGCAGAAAGGTTAGTGTAGCAGCAGCACGTGCAGGATCGATTAGACCTGTCTGGAGATGCATGTGTGTTCCGGCCCCAAAGCAAGGAGTCCCTTACTCTGGTATGCATTGCTATCTGAGTTGGAGCAGTGAAAAATCATTTTGGGGATGGATTCTGGAACCCACAGCTTCTACTTGATTTTGAATTGTAGAAACCAGAGGGAAGGCCTTCCTTTGAAGATCTGCTGCGCACGATAGATGAACTAGTCGAATGTACAGAAACTTTTGGAAGATGAGTGCTGTGACCGGATGATGCGATGGCTTCCAGATTCCAAAGCACGAGGAAGAGACGGCACTTTGTGGCAAACTTCTAATTTATTTAGCACTTGGACGTGTAGATTGTTTTACTTATAAAGGGGAAACACCTAAAACATTTGCTTCTCCACCAGCCGTAGCTCTGTGACCGAATCTTCTAGATTATGGAAATGCTGCCTTAGACACGATGGTTAAAAGCACCCACTTTTATACATTCCACAAGTACTGGAGTGCCCACTATGTGCCAGGCGCTATGCCCAGGCCCCAGGGTCTGCCCATTTTAGGGGTGCATCTGGGGTCACGTTAGCCGGTGCCAGTGGAAGGCCAGGGTAATTGGGAGGGGGAAGGGTATCCGAGCCACGTTCCAGCCACCCCTCTCTTCCCTGTGACTTCTACAGAAATCTGGGCTGGGGCATTGTCTAGAATATGGGTTCCAGATGGATCAGGAACCCACCTTGGCTAAGTACCCATCGTTTGTTTTGAAACATCTGTTTTCAAGACTGCCATTAGCATTACATTAAAACATATTTGTATGCTGTACATATTGTAAATATATACAATATATAAAGTTATATATTTATAAGAAACATGAGTCGTCTTTTTTGTAATTTGATTTTTATTGGAGTATAGTTGATTTTATGAGTTGTCTTTTAATTGAAATGTTTAATTCTGTAATATATGAGCCAACCCTCTTAGGACTAAGGATTTTACCTTACAGCTGTCAATTCCTTTTCCCCTGAGGATCTAATATTCCCTACTGAAGAGAAAAATGTCTGGACCCTTCTATCACTAATGCCCCCTCCTCGCTTGGGTAGCCATGTTTGAGGTGCCTATCCAGCTTAAGCCCCCAGCAGGGGCTGTGTTTGGGCTAAGTGGACCTGCCCACGGATACAGCTAATTGGAGTTGGATGGAAAATTGAGCCTAGGGGCAATCAATCAGTTTCTGTGTCTTAAGAATCTGTCCCTGGACATAAATGTGAAAGTGAGCTCTGGAGCAGAAGGAACAGAGGACGCTCGCCACAAAGGCTGTGTCCCAGCTGCGCGCAAGACCCAGGAGCAAGCCAAGTTCTGGCAGAATTCAGGAAGCAGCCAGGAAAAATGGAGAGCATGGGGCCATGTGTGAGCTGTTTCCCAGATGGCTTTCAGGAGGCCAGGCTGGACTTGGGTTCCTGCATCAGAGAGATTGTCTGTTATAGCTTCATAGTAGACCCTGCAATTGAGTTTATTTGAGTGGGTTTCTGACCCTTATAATTTCTGACCAGGACACCATCTGAGTTAGAGCCTCATTTACTCATGAGCCCAGGGTAAAGAACGACAGTCTCCATCATGATGAAAGCAAGGCCGTGTATTGCCCCACACTGTATTGTTGGTTTTGGGGGCATCGAAAGCCCCGCAAGACACAGGGCCTTTCTTCAGGAGTTCGTCTACTCTGGGGGGCCGCGGTCTCCCCCCATGCTGTGGAGCATTGTGTGAACACTCTTTACCTAGCGTTCACGGAAGTAGTTCTTATGTGAAGAAGCTACTTAATGCCCAGCGACGAGTTGTCTCAGTCAACAGCATCCCCCAGAACATTCTCCAGGAACAGCTGACGAGGTTAAACCACAGTGTTGCCAAGGAAACAGCTCACAGGTGGGCAATGCTGGGTTCAAGAGTTTACCCCCCTGGCTTCCTAAGCAAGTAATGGGCCAGAAGTTGTGCCCATGGCCTCAGAATAACACAAATACTATTCCCTGGCTGCCTGTTTCCTCGAGGACTCCCTGTAGACCTTGGGACATGAAAAAGGCATCTCTGTGGTTTGTGTTTGAAGCACTAAGAAGTCTTACCCATTCACGTGGGGCCCAAAGGAACCTGTGTACAGCAGGACTCAGGATCCCAGAGGATTTATTATGGCTCTTGCTTCCAAGAATGAGCTGAGGCCTCTACATTTGATTTTTTTTAAGCTACATACTCAAGGCCCACTTCCTCTACCATCTTCAAGTCTCATTAACAAGGGAGTGGCTTCTTCTGTCACATGCCAGGTTGTTGGGACCCGGATAGCATGTCCTCTGCGTGTGACTTCTCATTTCCCTATGTTTCCACTAAGGATCTAGAGGCAAGAGCAGGCAGTCGAGGTGAATGACCCATCTACCCTCTTTTGTTGATTGCACTGGCTTGAATGTTATAGCAGTGGTACTAGAACCATTTAACTCACTAAGTGCTTTAATGGTTAAAAAAATTATTAGATGGCTGCGTTTATGGAAAATCAAGACCTTTTAAGGAACACAGGCTGTGGCTGGCTACTCTGAGTAGCACCTTCATATGACCATGGAGAATCATCTTTCCATTCTGGTCAGTTCATCCCCTGAAGGCTGTCTTCTGTCCTTCCCTGTCCCCCTTATAATGGAAAAAAATAAAATATTTTTCCTAAGTCTTGTCACAGTCTGTTTGCCACCTTCCTTCTCATCTTCCTATTTACCTGTACCCCCATCACAAAAATATACACACCTGTTAACTGAATTGTAGCTCATTCAAGGGGTTGGCTGTATGTGCGCCGTGCCCTACTGTCATTGTCATACCTTCCTCCTTCCTCCTTCCTTCGTCTCTCACCTTGAGTCCTCTTGTCCCTCCCAGCCCCATCCCATACTTCCCTTTTGACCTTGAGGAACTGTGTTTAGAGCGCTAGGTCGCTTTGAAGAGAGAGGAGAAAGTATAGCCCTTAACCTAATAGTTATGTATACTTTTGATGGGAAAACAAGATTTGGCAACATTTGGGAATATTTTCTTCAAAAATCTTTAAATATTTCACTAGAACTTAAAAAAAAAGTTTTTATATAAAACCATAGCTACGGCTAAAGGAGAAGTAAAAATAGAAGAATCCACCCAGAATGTGTAAAGAGATCTTAATCTAGAAAGCAGGGAATAGGAAGGGCAACGTGAATCTGCTGTGTCTTCAGTGCAGTGGTTCCCTTTGGTTTTAGTTACTTTTTGGTTATTTTTCAGTGGGATGAAGTGCAACTCCTAAGTGCGTTTTTATTGTTGATGTTGTTGTGTTTGTAGTTCTCAGCCATGCCCCAGTCACCTGGGGATGGATTAGTTTTTTCCCTCCTGCCCCGCAAAATAAACTTTCCTCGTACGGTGCCTAAAGTGTTAGTACTGAGTAGGAGGACAGAATATTCTAGACGTGGTACTTCAAAACTTACAATCTGATTCTGTTTCTACCACTAACGGTGTCCCTTATCCTATCTGTGCCTCCAATTCTTTGTCTGTCCAGAGAGAGCAATTTGAATTCATGCTCTTTTTAAGGTCCCTTTTACCCAAATCTTGTGATTTCTTGAAAATGGTGTTTGCTGGAATCACCCACGCACTCGGGAATGAAGAACTAATAGCAGCTACCCTCAAAGATCTGGATGTAGATTATCAAGCTTTCTCTTATATAGGCCATTGGGTTGTCATTCACACACTTCTCTGAGGTTTTTAGAACAGGAAAATAGGTGGGGTTAACTTTGCCTGTGAGAAACGTCTTGGGTGAGCTATGATTTCAGTTAAAAGATGTGTTTTTGTGACAGGAGCATCGCTGAAGACCTGAAGGCTGTTTTGTTTGCTCCCCGCACAAGTGCAGCCATGATTCTTTCCACCTGTAAGTAAGATGGCTTTGTCCTTTATCTTCAGGGCTTGTTCTGGGCATGGTGCTTAGTCTTGAACGCCAGAAACTGTGAAGTGTGGAAGATAATTTCCCCAGATGTTGTGACAGGGTTTTGTTTGTTATTTAAATACCCATGGTGGTGATGTAATTTTAGAAAATGTTCAGCATTAAGAACACAAAAGAAAACAAAATAGTGTCCTTAAATCTACCTGTGTGTGTAGAAATGCAATCAGTGTGAAAAGTGTTTGTATTTAGAATATTTAGTGTAAAGAACTGAGGGCAAAAGTCTAGGAGACCAAGTTCCACTTCAGGATTTGCTGCAACATTAGTGGGTCACCTTTGGTAAGTTCTTTAGATCAGGTACCCATCTGTACAATGGGCACTCTCTTTTTGCCTACCTCCCAACAAGATACTAGAGAGAAACAATAGATTAAAATGACGGGCTCTTCATGAACTTAATTTTGGAGTTGCTTTGGAAGACTATTCAGTCCCATGTACAAGTTTTGGAAATGCTTGTTGATTTACCTCGAAGACTCAGAGAGCCTTATCATGCAAATAATTAAAAATCTGGAAGAAAAATACTGATTTTAATCCTGGATGACTATGGAAACAAGCTTCAACAAAGCTCAGTCACCTCAGAATAAAGCAATCAAGGCTGCTGACAACAGTTTTTGCACTTCTGAGTTTTAAGTGACATTAGGAAAAATTTTTTGCAATTTTTAAATGTCATGTGTTTAAACCAAATCACCTCATTAGGACCCAACACTTGTTGGTAGGATTCGTAAAAAATAAACCAGGCTACTCCACTTGTACCTACCTGAATTATAACTTACAGTCTGGGTCCACACATAGATCAAGACGGGGTGCCCATTATCAGAAACACAGGCCAAGCAGAGCAAAGCAGAAAGAGCTAAGAAGCAGTAACCCATGTCCCCACTTCCCCCAATGGCAGGACAAAGGTGAGCAGTGACTTAATAAGAACCTTTTCATTAAAAGCCATGTGGGCATCTGTTCTTCATTTCTCCTGAGGTCAGAACTCGAGAGAAGGCTGTAAATGATAACAGGAAGGATTCAGTTATATATAAAATAAACAGTGAGGGTTGAGACAAGGATTAGATTGCCCAAAGGATTGAATAAGAGACCACCTATTAGTGGGGATATTTTGAGGATCATTCTATCTGGCCTGGGAGGGCATGGGTTTGATGAACTATCACTGTCCTTTCCAGCTTCTGATAATTTGATTCAACGGTAAGACTCACCCGTTTATTTCTTCCACAGATTGCACTTAGATGTGGCTCCATTTTCTTTCTTTCTTTTTAAATTAATTAATTTATTTAATTTATTTTTTCTTTTTGGCTGCGTTTGGGTCTTTGTTGTTGCACACGGGCTTTCTCTAGTTGCAGTGAGCGGGGGCTACTCTTCATTGCGGTGCATGGGCTTCTCATTGCGTTGGCTTCTCTTGTTGCAGAGCA